GAATAACTGGAGGTTCCTGAAGGATGGTACATCCTAAGAGAGCATGAAAACTCCATACCGCTTCCACATACCTCACCCTATACACCTCTGCATCTGTATCCTTTATGATACCCTTTATAATAAAACAAGTTAACTGAATCCAAGGAGAGAGTTGTAGGAATCCCAATTTGTAGCTGCTTGGTCATAAGCACAGGTAAAACAACTTAGAGCTTGCACCTGGCATTTGAAGTGGGGATGCTGGGTTTACATTAARTCTTAAAGACTGAACCCTCAACTTGTGGGATCTGAKGCTGTGGGGTTTACATTAAGTCTTAAAGACTGAGTACTCAACCTGTAGGATCTGATGCTATCTCCAGATACAGAGTGTTACAAATGTAGATTAGAAGACATCCAGTTGGTGCCTGCTACCAGACTGCTTGCTTGCTTGCTTGCTTGCTTGCTTGCTTGCTTGCTAGTGGAGAGAAATTCCCACACCTTTTGGGGTCACAGAAGTCTTCTGTTGAGAGTTGTAGTGTGAAAACAGAAGGGGAAAAAAAAAAAGATTTTCTGATACCGGTATCTCTCTGTAACTTTAAATTTCTTAAGGAATCTAAATTCCTACTCCTAGAACTCAAGGTGTTTCAGGGTCTTGAGTAGGTGGAATTTCCAACCTAACAGCTTCCTAACACTTTAAACAACTGAAGTCTTCCTGTGTCCAAGTTCAACTAATATCTCCTCATGTCTAAGCATTTGCTCATATACCCACTCCACTCCACCTAAGGAAAGTCAAGGCACCCTACAAGACCAGCTTGATTCTCAGCCTCTACTGTAACCCTTCCCATAGTACTAGTTCAAATCAGTTTCCTTCTTTCCCTGGAACTCCTGTAAGACTTATTTTCCATTCATCGTTATTGTATTGAGTTGATATCTAACCCACTGTTTTTTCCTGTGTCTTATTTTTTTTAGGACAAGGACCTGTGTCATCTACTGTTTCAACCACAGCATCTCACACCTAATGGATAGCCAGAAAATAAATAAAAATGTGTGTGTGTATACACATTTATATATATTTTTACACATGCCCATAGATGAAAATAATTAACAAGGTAACATTGTTTTTAAATTTTGGTGTGCATTTCACACTTACAACATTATATATATATATATATATATATATATATATATATATATATATATACACACACACACACACACAAAATATATACACACACACATATATATACATATATAAACATATGTATTTAAGTTTTATGTTACAAATTACTTTAAGATGATACTTAAATACATGAATATGGTATATATATAATATAAATATCAAATACATGCTCAATCCAGGCACAGCATTAGTCCCAACTTCCCCACCCCCATTTTTTAAAAATTAAAGCCTAAATGATAGTTTATAGGCACAGAAAATCCAATGGCACATTCCTCTATTTCCTTTTGCTACCTCTCATTTAAATTACAAAAAGTTTATTTGTTAATATTTGGCCATATACATTTCTCCCTGAAAGTCTAGGCATACCTTCTACAACATTCAAAATTTTCAGAATACCACCACAATGCAATTAACAAGCTGAAATTGAGGCATAAATGGCCTAACCAATAAGCACTCACCATAAACAAAAAGTATTCACTCTGAGAAAATGAAGAATAAATCTATAAATATAAATATAAGCTAGTACTAAGGCCATCTCCTAAGCTAAAAAAAAACAAAAGTCCAATAGGTTATCCATGCACACACTACTACTGTGCATAATCATTAAGATTTAAAAAAATAGATAAAATCATGAGGTCACCTAGTTTAAAGAAGCAGTACAACACAATGGTTAGCAGCACAGGCTCTAGAGCCAAACTAAATAGACTTGAACTAACTCCATTACTAACTATATTACGTTAAAAGCAAGTAACTTAACCTCACTATGGCTCCATCAGTAATAACAGCATTTACCTTAAAGGTTATTATTAGTATTAAGAAAACTAACATATGTAAAGCGCTTAAAAGAATGTTTCACATATGGTAAACATTCAATAACTATATTACTCACACAGCACAAATCAAGTTATTGTTTTCAATTAATTAATCAAATATATACTTCATCCATGGTCAAATAGGAGGCACTATGTTTACAGATATACTTAGCTTTATTAGATATACACTGTTTCCTATTTTATTAGATTAGTTCCTTGCCCATAAGAATCACTCCTTCTCTCTCTCATTTAGGACTCTCTACAACAGCACTATCTAGGGGAAATATAACATGATTTCAAATCTAATAGCCACATTTAAAAAGAATAAAGAATATATTTAACCCAATATATGTAAAATATTATAATTTCAAAATGTAAAATGATAAAAATAATAATTAACAGGATTACACTGTTTTCATATTAAGTTTTCAAAATTTGGTGTATATTTTACACTTACAACATATCTCAATTTCTACTAGCCACATCATAAATGCTTACTGTTTAAACTACGTTTAAACCTATAAAATCTTCATACTGTGTTAAAATATTTTTGTTCACAAGAAGTATCAAGAATAATTTCATTATAATTTATGATTTTAAAATCTTAGATTTCTCCAACAGAATGCACTTTTAGGGCCTAGTTTCTTGAAGCTCTTTATTTCATAAAGAACCCCAGAGAGGTAACCTAAACTTATCATCAGTAGGGGTTCTGGGAGACTCCTATGATGAAATTTATTCCTCTTCAACATCAAGACAGCCCCTACATTAGCTGAGCCTGTGGTCAGACTGTTCAGGACTGAATCCCAGTTCAACCACTTAATAAGTGAARCTTCCAAACTGTTTCCTTTTCAGTTGGAAAAATAGGAGTGATAATAGCATTACCTACAAATCAAGGGGATGTCRTGAAGTCTGATGAGTTGATATATATAAAGCATTTGGAACAGCAATTGGTGCCTAATACACGTATTTTAYAAATATTGGTAATTATTAGTTATTAAAAGCAAATTGACACAGCTATATTAAGATGCATCTGTTTGGATTTAGACACAAATACTTCATCTTATATGTAAGATTACATCCAGCTTTTTGCAATATGTTTTAAAAATAATGTGGATTGCTTGTGTACAAGCAGCCCAAGCTCTGACTGGCTCTCTTCAGGCCAGGCTGAAGCCACGGGGCACTCTCTGACCTCTGCCTTAAACAGACTTCTGATCAAAATTACCCTTCCCTTCCTCAACTAGCAGAAAGAGCAGGTTCTTGACCATTGCATCTTGCCTATGTGGTAAGAAGTTGTGAAGCAGCACTACTTCTACTTGAAATGGAAATTCGTCCCTTTCTTCCTCATTAGGTCAAGGAAGATAAAGAAGATAAAACTAAATTTGCTTTTGTTTTACTCAGACCATGGGAGTTGTATTCTCTGCAAAAGGGAGAAAATGACTACCAGAACCACCTCTAAAATAAAAATCTAATCAGGAGTGGTGGTGCACTCCTGTAATCTCAGTAGCTGGGGAGGCTAAGACAGGGGGATCTCGAGTTCAAAGCCAGCCTCAATAAAAAGCATGGCACTAAGCAACTCAGTGAGACCCTGTCTCTAATTAGAAAATTTAAAAAAAAAAAAATGGCCTGGGATGTGGCTCAGTGGTCTAGTGCCCCTGAGTTCAGTACCAGTGATAGATAGATAGATAGATAAATTAGATAGATAGATAGATAGATAGATAGATAATAAACAAACAAAAAAAAAACAAGAATAAAATAATAAAAAATCTGTTTTTAACCAGATTAAGACACTTGCCAAAGTCACAGAGTAATGTAGTAGCAGAGATAGAACTAGATCTATAGTCTAAGTGTTCTTGACTCCACAGCAGGGTAAGATCATTTGATAACATATCATAAGTACAAGACTGGTCCAGTGACAAATTTGATTACAGATGGAGAAAAACCAATTTGATTYTTACTCAATAAAATATAAATTTAGTGTCAATAATCTTAAACAGAGTAACAGGCTCTAAAGAATTGCTTAGGGTCAAGGAGAAATTGCCTTTAATGAGCTTCATTTGTTAATTCCTTAAGGAAAAACAGTAATGGTACTAGAAGAAGACAGAAGACAGAATTCAAGATTGCTGAGAACCTAATATAATCCTTGCACTGACTGCTACATAACTCTGGACCCTAAAACCCTTTCTAGCTCTAAAATTCTTGGTATCTAGATAAAGGAATCTAAACCCACAAAGCCAAAATGTGCGGGATCTAGGTACAAAAGACTTAAGGGATGCTAAAAATCACTACTACCAAAGGAAAAAAAGATAATATCTAGGAGTCAGAATCTGAAAAGGCAGGATCCATAGAGATATCTTAAAACAGCCAAGTTGTTTTGTATATAATCATTAAAAAAGAAAACAGCAAGCATAATTCCAAGGTCACTGCTATCAGGCAACTACATGTTAGTGAGGGATGTGGCTGCAGAGTCAGCAAAATCTCAGTCCCAAATTAGTCATTACTGAGCATGAAGCCAACATTATCTTTTCCCCCCAAGTTACAAATGGATAAGAATCCAGTGTTAGTTTAGCAGCAAGCTATAGACTACACATACTTGACCAGATTTTAACAGTGGAGAATATAAAAATTTACCAAGTACTCTGATACACATTTACTAATATTCATAATGACTAATGTGTTTCACAATCCAGGCCTAAATGGGACATAATTCATGTGATTTTTCTGTAGTACTACTTATATAGCCACAATTCTAATGAGAGCAATAGGAAAAAAGTGTTTTCCATGAAGGTGATGCTAAAGACCTCTAAAGCCTTGATGGTTTCCTTTTAAACAGGTTTACTGATATATGATTCAAAGACCATAAAACCTATTCATTTAAAGTGTCTAATTCAATGGTATGACTTTTGTTGCAGAGTAGTACAAACATCCCAAAGTTGATATAGAGCACTCGCATCCTTCACCTTAGTGTGGGAATGCTTGTAGTCACTCTATCTCAGAAGTTCTTTCTCTAGGCAGCCACAAGGTTTTTTACTCACCTGGTTTAGGTCTTGGCCCAAAAGTCACTTTCTCAGAAAGGTCTTCCCTGGCCAGGTGCGGTGGTATACTCCTATAATCCCAGTTACTCARGAGGCTAAGGCAGAAGAATTATGAGTTTGAGAACAGCATGGACAACYTGAGAGACTGTCTTAAAATATAAAATTTTTWAAAAAATGGTTAGGGATGTAACTCAGTGGCAGAACACCCCTATGCTCCAATCCAAAGTATCACACACAAAAAAATAAAAATAAAAAATGTTAAAAGCATTCCCTGAATGTGATGTAAAAATGGTAACACCAACATGTATCACACACTTCCAGCACCATCCACATGGCCTGTTGCCCTTCCACCCACTGCTCCACCTTATTTCTCCAGACAGTGATCACATTCAACATTTCAAATGCTTTATTTATTTTCTATAAACTCCCAAAAGGCAAAGCTTTTTGTCTGTTTTATTCAATACTATACTACCCCGCTACCCCCCCCCATCACATCACTCTTGTAAAAGCTTAGTATCTGTGGAAAGGAGGAAGGAGGAAGGCAGAAAAAGGTGGCTTCACTRTTACAAAGGACACTGTCTTCAATTTACCTTTTAAATTATGAAGTTTCTATAACTTTTCATCTTTATATAAGAAAGCCAAACCAGAAAAATTAAAACAAATGAAGTTAACCAAGTTTGAACCACTGCAGACATCTATGCTTTAAAGATTTGTTTCCAATTTTTCATTCCTTCCATCTCCACAGTGTTTTAGTTTTGTTCCATCATTCAAAGGCCCACTGTCTATGTGAGAAAGGCAAGCTACATGCATACTGTCTTTTATTTCTGCCATTTTAGTTTTTTAAAAAGTGAATAGCAAATACTATGTCATATCATATAATTGTGAAAAAATGATAATCTAAAAAAGGAAAATGGTAAAAAAAACTACCTGCTAAAAGAAACTATGTTAACTAAAGTAAGCGTAACTAAGATAATGGCTAACACACTACTTTACTTTTTGCATATGTTGATATTCATAGGGTGGTGAAGATGGCATAGGTTCACAGGACAACTCTCCACCCTCTGACCTTCAATATATGATTAAAATAAAATAAGTCAAAACTTAACAACAATATTCCATAAAAGTGAGACGGCAAGTCTGGCTACATTTTGGGAAATACTAAGAGAAGATAAAGTTGGTTAGGTCAATGGTTTCCAAATACTAAGCTGAAGATCATTTCCCAACTTATATCAAAATTTTTACTAGTCCACAATGAAATGAGAAAAATAAATACAAGTTTTTAACTTGTTAATAATGCTAAATTATTATATTATACRTTTATAATCCAATTCTTCTATTATTTACATGTAACATCATAAAAAATATTTTTAAATGTGTCAGTTAAGGCTGTTAGCCATTTTTTCTAAGATAATGTCCTTTCCTGAATACTAATGAATTCAGTATTTATCCCATAGGCAATAGGAATTTATTTTTACTCTCAAATTTATTATATATTTTTAATGCCTTAATATTTTTTAACAAGGCTGTATTGCTTTAGAAATTAGAAAAGACATTCCTAAATAATCATAAGGATTTAAATATAACAAAAGTTGCTTGAGGCCAGGCACGATGGCACGTGCCTGTAATCCCAGTGGCTSGGGAGGCTGAGGTAGGAGGAAAGCAATTTCAAAGCCAGCCTCAAGAACATAGTGAGACCCTGTCTCTAAATAAAATATTAAAAGGGCTGGGAATGTGACTAAGTGGTTAAGTGCCCCCTGGGTTCAAGCCCCTGCACCAAAACCAAACAAACAAAATACCTTGAAGAGTGGACAAGAAGGCTTACTAGCCCATGCATATAAACTATACTCAATATATATATGCTTAAAAAACTAAAGAAATTAAATGAATCTAAAATCAAGCCCTYATATAAACATGTAACATATATAACAAAACCAAAAGGGGGAGTTTAAGGAGGCAGTTAACAAGCTTAAAAACAATCTGCTCTAGCAGTAATTCAAAAGTTCCTTTTCTAAAATACTATAACCTAAAAATGGCACAATACTCTATTTTTCTAATTACTTGCTATTGGTTGCTCTAGCAGTAATTCAAAAGTTCCTTTTCTAAAATACTATAACCTAAAAATGGCACAATACTCTATTTTTCTAATTACTTGCTATTGGTTAAAAAAGCAATGAAGAAAAGCTTTTTACTAGAAAAATTCAATGTCATCTTCCAAAAAGATGAGATTAAAAATAAGAATTTTATTTGCAATATAGAAGTGTTAAATTTGAACACTAAAAAAAACTGAAAAGGAAGTATTCATTGGTCAATGGAAATATGAGTTTATTAAAGTCAAAAAGCTAATTCTTTGCTCTAGTTAAACCACAGCTCTATAAGAAAATCAATTCTTCCATCTTTCTCCCTATGAACCAATAATGGCAAACACTTTCGAAAAAGATGGCATTGCACAGCACACCTCCTTACCAGTGGAGAGAAAGAAAGCTGTCAGAAAAATTAAAACAGCTCAAACTTCATTTCTGTAGTGTTTGGAACTTCAATAAGTTCCAAACATTGTGTAAATGTTAGCCATACATCTTTCCAGTCAGTTTAGAATTATTCAGTTATGGGAGACCAAACCAAATGAAGCCAACCATGCATGGAAAACATCTGCTGATAATTTCTACAGTTAATGGTTTCCAATAGTAGTATATATCTCTTATCATAATGCTTTCCATGGAACAACTTCAAGTATTCATTGGTGAAAGATCAGATTGAAGCTAAGTGGAATTATTATCAAAAACCACTACTACCACATAGCAATCTGCTAATATTTGGATAATTTAATTACTCAGGTTCTAAACTCTTTGCTTAAATTAGAGTTACTGTTTATAAAAAATTACACACACACACACACACACACACCACTACCACAGTAAAATATTTGAAAAGTTATTTCTACAAATAAAGAATTTCAGGGCACTGAAAATTAACCACACATTTGGAAAAATGAAATCATATTTGATAAATAGTTCAATTCAGTTATTTGAAAATAAAATTACTTTTTTAAAAGAATGTCTGGCCAATATGATACTAAATACTATATTCTCCTAAAAATGTGCACATAGTTATGCACTTTTATCATACCAGTTCTATTCGTATTAAAATTTAACGGCTAAGATTTACAGAATGGACAACCAAACTTTAGCTTTCTCCTAAGCTTAAAAATCAGAACTGAATTAGGGATTTTATTCTAGACAACAGTTCCTATAATGCTTTTCTAGTGCTATTTTCTTAAAATTACAATAGAATAAAGCTGGTTAATGGCACAATCAATATGTATGGAGATGGGGGTTTTATTTTGGTTTTTCTTATGCAGTCTTTATTTGTTCTTTTTAGATATACATGACAATACAGTGTATTTTGACATTATACATATATGGATCCCCTTCTTGTGGTTGTGGTTGTACATGTGGCAGCTCAATTCACAATACTGTTTTAAGTCCTTTAGGTATATGCTGAGGAGTGGGATAACTGGGTCAAACGGTGGTTCTATTCCAAGTTTTCTGAGGAAACTCCATACTGCTTTCCAGAGTGCAGCAATTTGCAGTCCCAACAGCAATGTAAGAGTATGTCCTTTTTCCCACATTCTCGCCAACACTTATTGTTACCTGTATTCTTGATAATTGCTGTTCTGACTGGAGTGAGATGAAATATCAGTGTAGTTTTAACTTGCATTTCTCTGCTAGAGATGTTGAATTTTTTTCATATATTTGTGGACCATTCATATTTCTTCTTCTATGAAGCTCCTATTTGGTTCCTTTGCCCATTTATTGATTAGGTGGCAAGAAGTAAAATMAAGAATCAATAAAAAGGACTGTATCAAACTTCTTCACAGCAATGGAAACAATCAAGAATGTGAAAAGAGAACCTACAGAATGAGGAGATAAYCTTTACCACCTGCACCTCAAATACAGCATTAATCTCTAGGATATACACAGATATGCAATCTTTTTTAAAAAAACTAATGCTGCACTGTGATTTAAATGACTGTCCTCCAAAGGTGCATAAGTAAAAGCTTAGTTCCCAAGGTGACAGCAAGAGAAGGTACTCTAGACCTTTAAGAGGTAAGGGTGGCCWTGTGAGAGATCCTTAGGTCACTGAGGCCGGGCCCTTGAAAGAAGATCATGGGATCCCAGGTTCTTGGTCTCAAACTGTTCTTGGCTCAAGATGTTAAGTATTTTGTTCCACCATGGGCTCCCACCAGGATATTCTAGCATCACCAGAGGTCCAAACAAATGGGACCACCCAATCTTAGAACCATGAATCAAAACAAGCTTCCCTTTCCTTTATAAGTAGCCTATCTTGGGTTTTTCATTATAGTGATACAAAGCTGCCTGAAAAAAAGCTATCACTATCACTGTTTGATAGAATTTATTGAGCATTTACTATGCCAGACACTTTACTAAAGCACTTTAGCTTGCATTACCTCATCAAATCCTCACAGCAGCCCTTTGGAGGTAGGTATGCTATATCCCAATTTTAAAGACAAACTGAGATCCAGTAAGGTTAAATAACCCGAGTCACAAAATGTGGCAGGTTACATTTTCCAATGATGATAATAAAACATCTCCTGTTTCACATTCTTTTTCTTAAAAAATGTTTTTGTTTTGAAACAGTTTTAGATTTCCAAAACAACTGTGATAATACAGAATTCTCATAAAACACATAACCAGTTTCACTTTTATTAACATTTCAACATTAGTATGTTTGTCGCAACTACTATTATTAACAATATTAATACATTTTTATTAACTAAACTCTGTGTTTTACTTACATTTCCTTCATTTCCCTCTAAGGCCCTTCTGTGGCAGGGCCCATCAGAATATCACATTATATTTACATCATCATCTCCCTTTAGGGTTCTCTTAGCTATGACAATACAGTGTATTCCTTGTTTTTGATGACCTGAGAAACTGAAAAGCTGAGACTTAACCTTACATGTGTCTCACTCTACTAGGGAGAGGGTACTTCTTAATCACAGTCCTAAATAACTTCCTGCAACCCAAACCGCTTGTCCTTGAATTTTGAAAAGGTCTATGTGTTGCTCAGTTCAGTGAGCTGAACTTGCAGACGTAAACATCTAGAAAGAAGATCCTACAAGCAATACTTTTCCAGTAACTGTCTTATTTCACAGTGTATTTAAAAGGATATGTGAATGAGCTGCCATGGTATTTAACACCATGTGACTCCAAAATATGTGACTTCTAAATAAAAGTAAAATCATTCCCAGGGATGGGATCAAGCAAGCTATGGATTAATTTATTTTTAAATAGCAATACATCCTTTCCACAGTTATGGAAACACATTAAACTAGAACGCTTTTTCAGAGTAAATTCAAATAATTCCTGTGTGCTTTCATTTAATGGCAAGAATGCTTATAAAATATTATTAGATTTATTATACACATTTTAGGATTAAGTTTTAGCCAGTGTGAATTATAATATGCTTGGAAAAAAGTCTAACCTACACTGATTAAAATTCTATTTATAAAGGAAAAATCTAAACCACAGAAACAGTGCTTAGTTTAGAACAAGAACATGTACATAACTGCCAAATGCAATCCCTATTTAGATGTCGTACTGAAACACTGTAATTACAAAAAAACCAAAATGAATTTCTAAGTGTTTCAAGATGAAACAGTCTGTGCATAATTTTCAAGGCTTATAATTACTTTCCTGGAAAGGTAAATACTCCAGGTTTTAATTCATTATATTACTAACACTAAAAGTTAATACAGGTTGAACATTCAGTTTTACTCTAAAATAGAAGCCAGCTATAAATTCAAAAGCTCTTAAGTTAACAGACTCTAACCAAAGAAAAATTATCAGGAGTCAAAGGTCAATGCAACTTCCTACAGCCATTTATGGATAATGGAAACCACTAGGCTTACTGAATGGGTTTTAGATTCCTCACATAAGTCAATATAGCAAAGTTATCTATCTAAAATGACTGCCCTGAGAAACGCATCGCAACTACAGTCTCTACTTCCTCAATTCCCATTTCCTCTTCACTACAGTCCAATTTTTGTTTCTGCCATTCCACTTAAAACACTGTCATAAAAAATCCATTTTCATGTTGCCACATCCAGTGGCCACTGCTCTGTCCTCATCTTACTCTACCACTTGGCAGTATTGTACACACGTGGCCACTCTCTCTTTGAAAGGATAGCCTCTCTTGAAATATTATGACACACTCTCTCCAGGTTTCTCCCCTCTTCTTCTGGTTCACATGGTTGGCTCTTCCTCCTCCAAAGGACCTCAAAATGCTGAGGCTTCCTACCACTCAGACTTTGGTGGTCTTCTATCACTTTTCTTCTCCTTCCTTCCTCTATGGTATCTTCTCAAGGATCCTTCCAATGACAACCAACACAATATTGTCCTCTGACCTCCAGACTTGACAGATTCATCATACTTCAGTAATGAGTGAATAATAGTTCTATCAAACCTAACACAACCACGATAAATGTCCTTGATTATTCCCCCCTCCAGGTTTCATTGTCACCATTTTTTCTCCATCTCAGGATATGATAGCAACATTCACCTAGATGCTCTACCAAGAAACCTAGAGTCAACTTTCATTCTTCCCCTTCCCTCATTCCCAAAACTCAAGAAAATCTGCAAGGGGCTTGTCAACTATATTGCCAATATAGATCCTAAGTCCAATGTTACCCAATGTCACCAACTTTGTCAAAACAATCATCTTTTGCCTATACTACTTCTGATTTCCTCTCTTTCATTCTTGGCCAAACAACACTCTCAGTTCTTTCCCCACATTAAGGAGAAAGAATCTTAAAATGTCAATCTGATTCTATCATTTCATAGTTCAGAAGTCTTCAAAGGCTTTTCCCTGTACCCAGGGAAAAACTCATATTCCCACCAAAATCTCCAGATCTTGCATGAGTTGTTGCCCACCTCTTGTCCAAGTGCACAGTCTACCTTGCACCTGTTCTCCAGCAGGTCACGTGCTCCCTCAAGGATGTATGCAAATTGTCAAGGATGCCTGAAAAGGTCTTCTCAGAAATTTGCTCCTTTTCAGGCATCAACTTAATGCCAACTGCCTAAAGAAGACTTTAATAAGACTGACCACTACTTACAGGAAATTCCCCTCATTAGTTACTCCAGGCCTCAATCCTGACTTCTTTGTTTACAGTTTTATTATACCTTGCAGCTATTTTATTCATTTGTCTGGCTTTTGTTTTCTACCTATGACCCCCTCTAGAATTATAGATCTGCAGTTCTATGATTGTAAGGGTATCAATCAATCCAAACTCAGAAAGTGCAAAAGTAAAAAAGACTTTACCTGGACTTTTGGAATTGCAATCCAAGAGACAGGTTCAGGCAGCTCCAAATTGGTATCCTGAGGAAGGCAGGAAAAGTGGGAGTTTACAGAGGATATTGAATGTTAAGAAGGAATAGGGGCTATATGACCAATAAAAGATGATAAATTAATAGACAGAATGGAAAAGTCCACAAATAATAATCTCTTGATATGAATTTTGAGCCTTGGGTTTTGAAGTTATTCTACAAGCAACTAAAATTCACATTCTAGGCAGCAGTTGGCGATTTCCCTAAGTCCTGCCTCCTAATGGTCTAACAAATCCACTGTGAAAAGCTCTTTTAATACTACTTTCATTGAAATTTTCCTTTTTTTCACAACAGCTTTACTGATATCTTTGCTATCACATCCTTAGCATAAGACTCAGAACACTTGGAAAAAGCTCTATTTCTACTTGTTGAAAGGCTTACTGTAAAAAGGGGAGGAATGGTCAGATTAAAAAAAAAAGAATTTGAAAGCATACATAAACAAATGTGATTGTTTAAAATGTCTTTCATTTATCAGACCCTTTACTACTTCTGAATTTACGTGGTGTCCTCTCTATGTGAGAGTAAACAATACAACAAATATAAAAGTATAACAAAAATAACGTCATCTAACATTCAAAGAGTATTTTCTGTAGCTTCCAATGTGCTTTTAAATTTTTACCTCAACTCATTTTATTTCTATTTTACAGATACCATCGCTAAGGTTCAGAGGTGGAGGAGTTGCTTAAAACCACAGATTTTTAGTGGTATTGCTGAGGTTCACACTTAATTCTGGTTTCCAAACCAGTCAGTCTTTTCTTGTTTCTTTCATTTTTGTGTGGTTGGTGCACACTTTTAGTGTTTTTGAAACTGAATTACACAGTGAAATATACAAATCCTAGATATGTAGCTTGATGAATTTTTACAAAGTAAATATACCCAGATCAAGTTAGAGCACTACCTACAACATGGGAGCCTCCTTCAAGAGTGCCCTTTCCAATCATGACTACCCCCCATGGAAATCACAATTCTGACTTCTATGACCACCATTGGTCTTAACCTGTTTCGAATCTTATCTAAATGAATTTTATTATACTCTATAACAATAATGCCATTATGAACATTCTTGATTTTTCAAAGGAAGAAACRCAGGACCAGAAAGGGAAAAATGACTTAAAGAAATCCAGCAACTGAACAATCCACCTAGATCCCAAGAACTCCTGATTTCTTCTTTATTATATAAAACAAGTCTCAGAAAGTCTGAGTCTTAACATAAAGGTTTTAAAAATTCTTGCATAATATAAAATCAAATATTAAGTCTTAAGTTACAAATACTATGCCAAATAATAATGATATCATTGAGCCTTTGGGTACAATTTGGTTTTTGGCTACCAAAGTTACTTAATTAAAAACTTTTAAAATAAATTAAATTTCCCCTAGCTTGTACTATTCAGTGAGACTCTGATGCTTAGAAATATTTTTATAATATGATTCTATGGATACATGACTAATTTATAGTCAAATAAAATTGATTCCCAGATTAAAAACTAGAATGCCAGAGTTGGTATTCTATCAAAATACAGAAACAACATGAGCAGGTAATATTCCAAAACTTTGTAATTTAAGCCAACTGTTTGGAATTCAGGATGCATTTTCTCATAGAAACTATATGACACGTAGTAATCAGGCTACAAAGGCCAGCTTTCCTCAAATGTACCTGAAAATAGTGCTAATAACATAGTTTTTAACCACTATGAATAAAAACCTAGCTTGGAATTGTGTTTACAAAACTATCTCCTAACACCATAATCTTGTGTTAATTCTCACAAACTAGAGAAGGCACCTTCATATCTCCCTGTCTTTTCTCTTTTCTTTCAAAAGCTTCTTTATGTTTGTTTTGTTTTGTTTTAATCCTTTCTCAACACTTCACTTTATGTTCCCAGATCCTGACCAAAGATTTCTGACCACAACTTATTCCTTAATTCCTGTCCATTAAATAACCCTTTGACATCTGGGAGAGGAGATACAGAAACAAGAAAAACAAAGAGGGGGAGAATAATCGTAAAATCACAATAAATGTTTAAAAGTTGCTCTGTTTTCACCAAAAGGTACATAGGGTCAAATTGGGGGGGGGGGTGCCCAATGAAGAGGATCATAAATGATTCTGAAAGCCCAAAAAAAAAGTCACAAATGCCTTCAAAGAATTCTTGGGCAGAGGAATGACCCATTGTTCCTCTAGATCTCATAGAATACATATTTTAAAYGAAGTAATGTAAGAAAGTAAGATTGTCCTTTTGTTAAGTAATTTTTTTGAGAGAGAGAGAGAGAATTTTTTAATATTTATTTTTTAGTTTTYGGTGGACACAACATCTTTATTGTATTTTTATGTGGTGCTGAGGATTGAACCYGGGCCGCACGCATGCCAGGSGAGTGCGCTACCACTTGAGCCATATCCCCAGCCCTTGTTAAGTAATTCTTAAAAAGCACAGGCTGAGAATTAAAATGAACTGCAATATTTAGATATAAATTATTAAACCATCACTTCTCATTTACAAGAAACCCCAAAATTAAGTGTAGCAATATTAAAACAATATATACAAAAGTTATTTGCACTAACTTGACAGATAACTAAACCACCAAAGAACTATCAACTTGTAAACAATACAAATGCTTTACCTACTGTGTTACTCAGGTTTCAGTGGCTCTGACAAAATACCTGACATRAACATAAACTACTTTAACAGAGCTATGACAACAAAAATGGCATGGTACTGGCACCAAAATAGACTTGTAGACCAATGGTACAGAATWGAGGACAGAGACAGACCACATAAATAYGGTTATCTCATACTAGACAAGGATGCCAAAAACATTCACTGGAGAAAAAATAGCCTATTCAACAAAAGTGTTGGCAAAACTGGAAATCCACATGTAGTAAAATGAAATTAAACCTCTATCTCTCACCCTGCTCAAAAATCAACTCAGTGGATGGAAAACTTAGGCACTAGAACAGAGACCCTGCACCTAATAGAAGAAAAAATAGGCCCAAATCTTCACCATGTCGGCCTAGGATCTGACTTCCTTAAAAGACTCYTAAAGTGCAAGAAGTAAAATCAAGAAGCAATAAATGGGATGGATTAAAATTAAAAAGCTTCTTCTCAGCAAAAGAAATACTAATGTGAGGAAAGAGCCTACAGATTGGAAGGAAATCTTTACCACATGCACCTCCAATAAAGCATTAATCTCTAAGATATATAAAGAACTCAAAAAACTTAACAACAAAAACAAACAAACAAATAATCCCATCAATAAATGGGCTAAGAAATTGAACAGACACTTCACAGAAGAAGAAATACAAGTGATCAACAAATATACGAAAAAGTGTTCAACATCTCTAGCAATTAGCGAAATGCACATCAAAACTACTAAGATTTCATCTCATTCCTGTTTGAATGGCAATAATYAAGAATACAGGCAACAATACATGTTGGTGAGGATGTGGTGAAAAAGGTACACTCATATATTGCTGGTGGGACTGCAAATTGGTACAACCACTCTGGAAAGCAGTATGGAGATTCCTCAGAAAATTGGGACTGGAACCACCATTTGACCCAGCTATCCCACTCCTTGGTTTATACMCAAAGGACTTAAAATCAGCATACTATAGTGACGCAGCCACATCATTGTTTATATCAGCTCAATTCACAATAGCTAGACTATGGAACCAACCTAGGTGTCCTTCAATAAATGAATAGATAAAGAAAATGTGGTGTATATATATATTCAATGGAATATTACCCAGCTTTAAAGAAGAGTGAAATTAYGGCATTTGCCAGTAAATGGTTGGAGTTGAAGAATATCATGATAAGCGAAATAAGCCAATCCTACAAAACCAAAGGCCAAATGCTTTCTCTAATATGCAGATGCTAATTCCCTGAGGGCACTAGGGAAGAATGGTGTTACCTTAGATAAGGTAGAGGGAAGTGATGGGAGGGGAGGGAGGAGGAGGGTATGTGGGGATAGGAATGATGAAACAAGACATTATTACTGTATATACATATGTGACTACATGACCAATATGATTCTATAACATGTACACTCGGAAAAATGAGAAATTATATCCCATCTATGTATGATATATCAAAGTGCATAAATGCATTCTACTGTCATGTATTAACTAATTAAAACAAATTAAAAAAAATTTTTTTAAAGATTTATTTTGGCTTCAGTCCATGGTCAGCTAACTCCATTGCTTTTAGACCTGTGATGAGGAAGAACATCATGACAGGGAAGATATGGAAAAGAGACCAGGGCCAAGTTATATCTTCCAAGGACATGCTCCCACTCCCAGTGACCTACTTCCTCCAAATAGTTCCCACCTCCTAAATAACTCACCATCTCCCAACAGTGCTACCAGGTGGAGACCAAACCTTCAACATGAGCCTTTGGTGGGTACTCCAGATCCAATCTATAATACCCACCCTTGATTATTTTACATAAGTTGATTCTGGTTCTACCATTTACTGTGTAAATGTAGGCAAAAGCATTTAACCTCTCTGGGTCTCAATTCTGCACTAATAACACAGGACTTAAAAAAAAAAAAAACAATACCTACTTAAGGATTACTACAAGAGTTAACATAACAAGGCAGCTTCAGGAACAGAGTAAGTGTTCAATAAAGATTAGTGACTATTTTCTCCACACTGATGCATAGTTTACTTGASGACACATCCATGATTTACACTACCTCTTAAACCTTCACAACTCCTAGGACAGTGCAGAATACCAGGTAAATGCTCAATATTTATTGGCTGAGGACTAATGATCTATATGGGATCTAGAATCTTGAAGCAGAAAGAGATTTTAGTAGTCATCTGGAACAGTTTCACTTAATTCAACAATAAGACTCATCGGGGATTATCAAATCTTTGCTTAAACATGTCCATGGCCAAAAAATTGCCATCTCAACAAAGAATGATTCTAAATTACTAAAATATTCTTTTTGAAGACAATTACTGCCTCTTAAAAAGTGCTTCTGAAAGGCTAAATTCACTA